CCATGTAGGTGCTAGGTAATAAGAAAATAATAGTCAGTTTTTATTACTTCTCTGTAAAAATATTTTGGGCCTTTTAATGCCTAGGTAATTATGGACACAAGTATTTTAAGTGAGGTGAAATAAGCCTGATATGAAATCATTAGGAATTGACTGTGTTTGTTACTATCCTTTCTCTATTCATATTTGATCGTATATTATACTTTGTTATATTTTTAGAATGATGTATACAATGTAAAAATTTTACATATCTCATATGCAAAAGTCACTTATTAAATGTAAGCTCTCAGTAATACTATTGTAGAATCATTTTAGATGATCCACATGTACTCTGCACATCAATTTCTGCTTGTTCATTTGTTTACTTACTTATTTTTATTTTGTTCTTTTGCAGGAAGTCCTGGCTGAGCAAGGTTGGAAGTCCTAGTTCTCGCATTGACCGCACAAACTTTTCTAATGAAAAGAACATCTCTACACTTGACTATTCTAATTTCAGTATTCGATACTAATAGAAAACAATAAAATTGTAAGGCTTCCAGTGCACACTGGACACGCTGTGCCCTGAAGTCTAATTCTAGAATAAGTACCAGAGTAGAATGCAAAGGGGGAGTTTCTGTTGGGAAAGCTACAGAACTGTAACTGAGGATGTTCGTCACCGAAAGAATCTTACTAAACCCTTTTTGTTAAGCAAAAACATATGCTAAGATTAAAAATGTTGTTACATATATTTACAAGGAACATTCAGTTTACACTTGTCTCATGGAATCTTTCGTTTCAATGAATATTATAGCATACATGTTATTTGGTTAGATATTAAATAAAGTGAGCCATCTAAGTTTTACCCAAGTATGCTTGTCTAGAGTGACTTCTAATGTCTGAATAATAATTTGTTATCAAAACTGAGTAATTTAATGATCGAAATCTTTAGGAGAACCACTAAATAAATATATCGTGTAATCAATATAACCATGAAAGAGTGCCAGTAAAGAGCAAACTTAAAATTGTTTAAATATAAACATGAATCAGTACTGAAATGGTTGTTGCCTACCGTCCTCCTTGCGCTGTGTTGCTCCGTGCAGAGCGTGGCTGGCGTGGTGGTGGCAGCTGCACAAGCTCACGCTTGCCTCCACCGAGTGGCCTGGCTTCTGGCAACCACTCTCGCGGGAGGCAGACGCGCTGTGGCCCAGAGCGTGGAGAGCCCGGGCTCCCCGCCCCAGCACGTCTGCGGACGTACCTGGGGGCAGCAGCTGTGCTGCCTGGCCAAGCGGGACCTCGGGCTCTGCGAGACGATTTCCCGAGACGTGCTACCAGGCATGCGCCTGTGCGGTGCTGGCCGCGGGTGCCGTGCAATCGGTGTGCGCTGGCCACCAGAGCTGCCCTTCCTGCACGCTTTCTACCCAGGAGAGGAGACACTGCGGTTGTTCCGAGAGAGGGCGCAGTGTGCGATGTGCGGCTCAGAGCTGAGCGCTAACTTCCCAACACCCAGACAGGCTGGAGCTCGAGGATTCCACCTGGTCTGGAGAATATTAAGTAATTTTTTTACATTCAAGTTTGTAAACAAAAACTGTATTCCTGTGCATATACAAAAGCTAAGTGGATTTTTTAAAAAATATAGTCTCAGGAGTGACCAACACAACTCTTTCTAAAAAGACATCCTTTGGCAGTTCCTTTCTTAGCTCTCTTTATAAGAAAATCACGATTCCTCCTCCCTTCCCTCCTCTCCTCTGTCCCTCCCTCCTCTCCGTCCCTTCTCCCCTCTCCCCTCTCCTTGGTCCCCCCTCCTCTCCCTCTTCCCTCCTCCCCTCCCTCCTCTCCTCTGTCCCTCCTGCTCTCCTTCTTTCCTCCTCCCTTCCCTCCTCTCCTCCGTCCCTCTCCTCTCTCCTCTCCTCTGTCCTTCCTTCTTCCCTCTTCTCATCTGTCCCTCCTCCCCTCCCTCCTCTCCTCTGTCCCTCCTCTTCCTCCTTTCCTCCATCCCTCTTCCCCTCCTCTCCTCCGTCCCTCCTCCCCTCCCTCCTCTCCTCTGTCCC